CCCCAAAACCCCAAAACCCCAAAACCCCATGATGCTAAATATTAATAAAAAGGAGAAATTAGAAGATTAATTAAAGAGACTGTTATGTGCAAAATTATAGTAGGTAGCAGAATATTTATCCAAGGTTGTAAATTCGAGATTCCTTAATAATTATTATAATCTTAAGTTTGGTTATAATTTAAACTTTAACTATAAGACAATGAACAGCAACAGCAGACCTCCTCAAAAGCCAGGGAGTGCTCTTCAATAGCATTTTTAATAGAGTCCCTATAGAAACCAAAATATAATTTCAAGTGGACCATCAGGAAACATGAGGATAGGCTAGAGCATGATCAACGAGGGAAGGCAATTTTAACAGCCTACTGCCATGCAACTTTAATTTTAGCAATATGACGAAATTTTAGAGAACTCACCTTACAATTTCTTTCACGGCATTAATCCTAAGAGGTTGATGAGGGGCAAGTCCATAATGAATAAATGTAACTTAATAAGGTTCTTGAGTTGCAATTTTTGTAACAACATTATTGTCTAAGGTAGAGAGTGCCCATCTTGCGAATCTAACTTCTGTGCTCCATGTGTGAAAAGATGGGAAGCATCGGATTCAGCCAAACTATATTAAACTCCATGTAAATGCCCTGATGTGGAATCTCTAAAGACACTAAGTAAATTAAAAGCAGAGTATCTTCAATAAATCAGATTCAACTGCTAGAATAGGAATTGCCTATACTAACTTACATATGATGAGCTTTTAAGAGGAACTCATGAACTAGAGGAGTGCAATTATATAAGAGTAATGTGCGAGGGTTGTGGTGTGAGGATATTTAAACAAGAGCAACTTAAGCACGAGTCTGTGGAATGTGAAGTGCCAAAAACGAAGTGCAGATTTTGCTAATAATTAATTCTTCTTTAAGATTTCTTGGTTCACTCTAAATGCTGTCCTTATAAAAATTTAGTCAAGGTAGAATATGACTCTCTTCTAGATGAGAGATGAGCTCTCGACTAAGATGAGATAAGCAATCATTCAAGAGGAAACACCTCTGCGAGAAGGGGTAGAGCGACGGATTATCATAACACTGGCATAAATGCTTAGCTTAATTAAGTAAAATTTTAATAGTTCATTTAATTAGTCAGGTAAGCATAAGTGTGTACACTGCAAAAAAGAAGTTGAAGATCGAAAGGACCATCTCTGCTATCAGATCGAAAACACTGTCAGAGAATAGTTCAATTAAAAAGCTTATAACGATCATCAATGAAAGTTAAATGACTAGATTCAAACTAATAACTTGCTTAGAATGCTTTCCTCTAGTTAGCCTGAATAAAGGTCCTAAGATAGATAATTGTACAAAGAATTCGTAGTTATTCACTTAAGTGATAGTGAAGAAAGTAAGGAATACTGACTCCAAAAAAGTAATCCCTCTTTGGAAATTAATGAGTTGGGTAGTTCTGTTATAGAGACTACCTAAAAAGTTAAGAAGCCGAAGGTTAATGTTAAAAAGATAAATACTTTGAATATGATACCATCAGAGGAAATCAAGAAGATTTAATAGGATTTTAACAATAATATGATTAAGTAGTCTTAATCAGTTCTTGAGATTGCCTCTAAATAGCCAAACTAACAAATTCTGAGAACGAATAAACCACCGTATGTGAATAATTCAAGAGATTAAGATGATGATGATGATGATAATGAATTAGATATGGAAAATAGTGAGGAATCAAGTGAGGATGATGATGAAGATAGCGAGGATGAGGATTATACAGTTAGAGGAAATCATCCTAAGAGAAAAATTAAAAAAGATTATATACTTAACAATTCAAAGATCAATATACAAAATCCAATTAAAAAGAAAGCCCAAGGTGATTAAGGATGGGATCATGATTCTCTTGAAAATTCTGAGTTGAGCGATAGATCTTATATCAAGAATTAAGATCCAAGACTTAATTTATCAGCTAAAGCTAGCATTTAAGTTACTGGAAAATCTTTATAACCTATGAAATCAAATTTTATCTCAACTAATAATTTGCAGTTGTAACAGCAGCAACTTTAACAGACTTAAAACTCGCAAAGCGATAGAGGTAGTATAATTGCTTTTGACCTTGAATCTGGTGATCTTATTGAGGAAATTACTCAATCTTATAAAGTTGAATGCGACACCAGTCATCACCCAAAATCAAGAATTAATGAGCACTCAAAATCTACAAAGAATAGCTAGAAAAAAGTTTAAGATAAAAATCTTAGTAGGAATATTACTCCTAATTGACCTACAACAAAATTAAGTGGAAGCCAAAATAAGTTAAAACCTCAAAAATCCTTAAAAGAATCCTTGCAAATTTTGAACAAGACTCCAAATTAATCTGTAAATGAGACTCCAAAGGCTAATTTATACTAGTAGTTTCAACAAAAAATAGCAGCTATTAGTAAGGAGTAAAAGAATCAGGATTAGATTCAGCAAACATTTCAAAATAAGAAGATACCGACTCTTAAAAAAGGTTTTAAGATAGAAAGAAAGGAAAAGTTAACGGGATAGGGAAAGGGGGAGTAAAAGATTAGTATTTAACATAAAGATGATTCTCTCAGTCCAGTCAGAGTTACCTCCATAGTTACAACAATAATTTTAGTAGTAGCAACAAGCACAAAATTTTATT